CGGCATGTTCACTTTGCACATTTGACAATCGTGGCATTTCAAGTACCGTTAGAACTTCGGTTTAAAAGTGTTTTTTTCAATTCTTGAGGCCAATGCAAACACGTGCATATGAAGAAAACTTCGATGCGAAGATCACGTGATCGACTGCACGTGCAAAACCTGATTTGGCACTAACGTCATTTGCACGACGAATGGATGGGTTTGAGTGGGTTTTACTAACGTATTTCTTGAGTCGAAAGATAGGGATCCCATTTCGGATACTTAAGAATTGAATGTCAGTTTTGTGTTTGCACTGAAAAATGAACGATGTCAAAGCGCTTTGACATCGTTCATTTTTCAGTGCAAACACACAAACTGACATTCAATTCTTATAATTTCTCACTTTGAAGTTTACACATACGTTTTCCACCCATTTGTAGATGATCATTGTTTAGTGTGTTTTAATACCTGGAAAATGTTGTAATGCCATTCGGTTCAAGAACGTACGTATTGCAGCGATGTTTGTATACACAGCGATTTTCTTTACACATGTATCCCAACCCTTGAAGAAATAGTTCTCAAAGTATCCGATCTTTAAAATATAACAACAAATTCGTTATGATGTTTGAAACTGTTTTAATAAGTATAACATCAATAACAGCATCAAACAGAAAAAAGAAGCAATAACAATAGCATTTTAACCAGCTGGCATTGTACCTTTTCACTTGTAAATAGCTTGTTTGACCGCGTAATAATACAATGACCGACTTCGAAGTTGTGCGGCGTGGCGAATAGGAAGCTGATCTTGTTGTATTCTATTTATTTGTGATTGTTTATTGTGAAATTTATTGAGCAGTTGTTAAACAGACCTCGGGCAGAAAACCGCCAGATGAACCCGCAAACTGCGAAACATTAAACTCCTGTGAAAAGGAACAATGTTCGGCAATCCGTTTGGTAGTGACATTGCCAAACTTGGTGTGACTTGAAACAGGTTCGTTCGCGAAATTGGCATCACCAATTATTGGGGGTCCTTGAAACCGAAGCGAAAAACGTTCACACACGTATGAACGGTGTTTACACAATTATGAACGATTAGAGGGGTTCAAGAGTAATGAACCTTGAAATTTAGATCACATGACCGCTCTCTCAACCAACCAACGTTTGGGAATCTGTGTAAACTTGAAAGCACGAAATTATATAGATGTATCATCAGAGAAAAATTATTCATTATTTTTCAAATTACATTTTGGGAAGGTTTTTTTTTGACTCAGTATATGTGCCCAAGAATGTGCCCAAGAACACCTCCATGTTCTCAAGGGCACTTTTGGGGATTCGCTAGTTTGGGTTTTTGTTAAGAATGAGGATTAGGATTAGTTTTGTGATGACTTCGATACTTTAGGGATTGTCTCAGACGCTTTTTGTTGTTGTAGCATAAGTTCCCTGTAGTTCATATCTTTCGACAATTTTTTGGGCATCGGAAAAACTCATGTTCTGGGTAAATTTGACACTCTCTGGAGAACGATGAATGGTCGCCTGAGCAGCCAGTGCATTTTTTAAAAATCACTGTCACAATCTTCTGTTGAATGTGTCTTCTCAACACAGTGAGCGCACACAACAGACAATGTGCAAGTATTAACACCATGAACATACTTTTGGCATTTAAAGCACTTGAGAAGATTGGGAATTTAGGTGTCGACATGGATGTCACAGTAACCTGCCTTCAGTGATTTGGGAGCATTTGATACAAAGAAAACATATACCTATTTGTTTAATAGTATCATCGTTTTTCATCTCAAGTTCCGACAATCGATCGCGGTCCCCCACAGTGAAAGGAATGCCTAATGTTCTTAACATCTCGAGCAATGCCTTGTATACCCTTAGTTAGAGCAAGAAGGTTGAAAACTCGAACGTAGTTTTGTCAACAGACCCAATCGCAAGGAAACGTGGCTAGAAATCGATTAAGTTGGACAATTTGTGGTCAGTATCAATAGGATCATTGTCAAGTGGACGTTGTTTAAGGAGGGGGGGGGGGGGTTTGTTACTGGCAGGTCGTATGGCACATGCTCAAAACAAGCACGTCTCCGTCTTGCAGCACCCTGATACTCGAATGACTCGAATGATACTCCAGGAGGAAATCTAAATGATTATATTTTCCCACAGACTGGGCCAAGAGCTAACGCCTTCTGGGCATACGACTCTTGGGAAAAACATGAATTCAGTGGTGCATTTGAAATTGCACATGTCACATAGTTGTAGCCCGGGGATTGACAGACCCGGGCCCATCCTACTTTAAGTGGTTTGTTGGTGCACTTAACCACACCAATCCCGTCCTCTACCGACCGACACGGGCTCAGTCCAAGGCTAACAGGCTGCCCAGTTTGGTCGTCCCTTGCTGCTAGCGTTACCAACACTGACGTCAACACGACTCTCTGATACTTCTACCTCGGCAGTGGGAGTAAACATTATTATGAAAAGAATTGTGTATTATAATGCAGTCGTCCCTTGCTACTAACGTTACCAACACTGACGTCAACACAACTGTCTGATAAGTTTACCTCGGCAATGGGAGTAAACATTATCAGGAAAACAATTGTGTATTATAATGCAGTCGTCCCTTGCTACTAACGTTACCAACACTGACGTCAACACAACTGTCTGATAAGTTTACCTCGGCAATGGGAGTAAACATTATCAGGAAAACAATTGTGTAAACATTATTATAATGCAGTCGTCCCTTGCTACTAACGTTACCAACACTGACGTCAACACAACTGTCTGATAAGTTTACCTCGGCAATGAGTAAACATTATCATGAAAACAATTGTGTATTATAATGCAGTCGTCGTGCCCTTGCTACTAACGTTACCAACACTGACGTCAACACAACTGTCTGATAAGTTTACCTCGGCAATGGGAGTAAACATTATCATGAAAACAATTGTGTATTATAATGCAGTCGTCCCTTGCTACTAACGTTACCAACACTGACGTCAACACAACTGTCTGATAAGTTTACCTCGGCAATGGGAGTAAACATTATCAGGAAAACAATTGTGTATTATAATGCAGTCGTCCCTTGCTCTGATACTAACGTTACCAACACTGACGTCAACACAACTGTCTGATAAGTTTACCTCGGCAATGGGAGTAAACATTATCATGAAAACAATTGTGTATTATAATGCAGTCGTCCCTTGCTACTAACGTTACCAACACTGACGTCAACACAACTGTCTGATAAGTTTACCTCGGCAATGGGAGTAAACATTATCATGAAAACAATTGTGTATTATAATGCAGTCGCAGTCGTCCCTTGCTACTAACGTTACCAACACTGACGTCAACACAACTGTCTGATAAGTTTACCTCGGCAATGGGAGTAAAACATTATCATGAAAACAATTGTGTATTATAATGCAGTCGTCCCTTGCTACTAACGTTACCAACACTGACGTCAACACAACTGTCTGATAAGTTTACCTCGGCAATGGGAGTAAACATTATCATGAAAACAATTGTGTATTATAATGCAGTCGTCCCTTGCTACTAACGTTACCAACACTGACGTCAACACAACTGTCTGATAAGTTTACCTCGGCAATGGGAGTAAACATTATCAGGAAAACAATTGTGTATTATAATGCAGTCGTCCCTTGCTACTAACGTTACCAACACTGACGTCAACACAACTGTCTGATAAGTTTACCTCGGCAATGGGAGTAAACATTATCAGGAAAACAATTGTGTATTATAATGCAGTCGTCCCTTGCTACTAACGTTACCAACACTGACGTCAACACAACTGTCTGATAAGTTTACCTCGGCAATGGGAGTAAACATTATCAGGAAAACAATTGTGTATTATAATGCAGTCGTCCCTTGCTACTAACGTTACCAACACTGACGTCAACACAACTGTCTGATAAGTTTACCTCGGCAATGGGAGTAAACATTATCAGGAAAACAATTGTGTATTATAATGCAGTCGTCCAGGTAACAATACGGACGACGAACAGTGGATTACCAGTGTAAGTTAATGCTTTATAATACTTGACGTTCCATGAACCCCCACTGCGACTAAAACTGAAACAGTTGAGACACAAGAAGTCAATAACGAGTGTGACCTACAGCGGCGGTTGCGGAAACACAACACATCCTTATGAATAGGATAACCTGTCGAAACACTATGACCGGAAGTCGTCGACAATGGCCAACGAGTGCTTGCCTAAGTGCTTGCAAAGTGTGGTGGTAATTCAGTTGCTGCCACACACGTCTTCCCAGATTATTAGGGAGTGAGTTGGGTTTTACGCCGCCGGGACACCAGAAATGGGCTTCACACATTGTATACATGTGGGGAATCGAACCCGGGTCTTCAGCGTGACGAGCGAACGCCTTAACGTCTAAGCTACCCCACCGCCCCAAATTTATATTAAAGAACTGGAGTGAATAAAAACGTTATTGGCAAAGCGTATGCAAGAACTAGAATTTGTACTTTACATCGGAAGTGTAATACCAAACATATTTGTTATATTTAGCCAAAAGGCTTTGGGCATTTCAAATTCCTCAGCTGTTTCGTTTTGGGGTTACACCCCGCCAGCTGACTGTCCGTTGTATCATTCTGACTATGTTACCTCAATCCACTATGTTGAAATACAATCGAAATGTCCAACATGAATATAGGTTTAGTAAATGGGTGTATTACAACGACACATCAGCTGTATATCTACATTTGGAGAATGAGCAAGGCGACGAAATGAATAAACCTGCCACAAAAGTCACAATCCGGTAACAGAAATTAACAATTTAAAGTCTGTGTTGGGAAAGGAAGTGTTCAAACGAACTATCTTTTTTCTTTCAATACACAAACATCAATACCGTCAAATGGTCACTTTCTGAGACTTAAATCATCATTTCTATTTCAGGGTAAGCTTGAGAAATACGGCAACTTCCGACAGTTTCTTTTCTAAATGTCAAACATGTGATATAGCATCAATATCTAGGGCCATCTCAACCAAACGTACCTGTTCACTGTTCCAGTCGCTGATGATGGAGGTGAGAACATTACTGCCGCTGATGTTGTTTGGTGACGAAAACTCAAACTGATCATACATATTACAGTCCCTCGTTTTCTTGTTGTAAGTGAAGGCTTCACACGTCGCCTTCAGCTGACATTTGTGCACACAACCCAACAGTCCCCACAGCAATGGTCTCTACAGGCTGACCGTCAACCGTGTAATTGTTGTTGAGTTGAGGAAATCTACTTATCTTGGTGCAAATGTTTCCTCTTGACAGGCATAGACATTCGTATAATACGACCAGAAGTAGCCACATTCTGCTCGTAAACAGAGTCAGTCAGAAAGGAGAAACCTTACAAAACAGTCTCCAGAGAACTGCTAAGATGAAAACACGAAAACAATCGATGCGCGTCAGTGTGTTACTGACTATATACCTGGCACATATTCAAGACTTGCATAGGCTGTATTGTGCGTATTTGTTTCAGGGTCTTTACGACAGACTACTTTGTTTGGGCCAGTGACGACTGTTTACAGGGTGACATACACTGACACACTACTAGTACATACCTCGGCACATCTTTAACTCATGCCTTAGCTGTTTTTCGTTTTAAATTATTTCAATGTGTATCTATGTACCCATCACCCACATCAATTAACCAATATATCTTTTACTTTTATGATCTGTGAGTTTTCTTGAATTTATCCTTTTTGAATTTTTTTTATCTCAATTTACAGAGTGAACTGCAATTACCACCCGTGAATCCACTGTGTCGTGACATTAGAATTCCGACTGTCAACAATGCACAAATAGCAATGTTCTATATTGCATAACTTGTGAAGATCCGGGTTGGATCGACCGACCCTAATTTAAAGAAATAAATTGTAATAAGAATTCCAATACATGAGAATCACGTACATTATTAAGATAACTTTGTCTTTATTAAGTTTGTTTTTTGTTTGTTTGTTTTTTTCCCCGACCGACCGACCGACCGACATGTTCAGAATTTGGTGGCTACGTGAAAAACATAAAAAAGACTGATGCCCTAACTGGATCGGGTGGTCACTCTCGCTGACTTGCTTAACAGATGTCATCGTATCCCAATTGCGTAGATCTATGCGCATGATGTTGATCACTGGATTGTCTGGTCCAGACTCGATTATTTATAGATTGCTGCCATATAGCCAAATATCAACGAAGGACTGTAAAATAACTAGATTACCACATATAGAGAATTAAAACTAGCACGTAACTGTAAAATTATACAAACTTTTATGGACAATACAAAACAATAAAACGAGCTGGAGATCACCAGCAACTGAAGGTACGTCACCGGTGTGCGGAAAAAGAGTCATCGGAAAAAAGTACTGGAAAAAAGTCTTAAATTTGCCTAGGAAAAAAAGCCCTCCGGAAAAAAGTCCTAGTTTGCAAAAGGAAGTTTTGACAAAAGAATAAAAAGTATTTTTTAGTTTTTCATAGTTTTTCACAGCGTTTGTTGACTTTCATGTAGTTTATATTCATACAACAAATGTAAAATAGACAGATCCTGTATACATTACAGAGGTTTTCAGCTTTATTCCTTCTACAGAGTATTTTTTATAAGTGTCATTAAGAAGATAAAAGATCAATTTATCTATTTAATGACCCATGTGTGTGAGTTATCAATGTTTTTTCTAAAATATTTGACACCAAAGTAGATGAATAAATAGGTTTTTATTACAATAGGACTTTTTTTCCGAGGTACTTTTTTTCCGGTACATTTTTTACCGATGGCTTTTTTTCAGCGGACTTTTTTCCTACAATCAGGTCACCATACTAGGGACGAATCTAACTAAAGATTGAGATGAGCTTGTAAATGTAAACATCGCAATGTCAGAGGACTCATTTGCTCCGCTGGTAATATTTTATGTAAATGTGTTGTTTTCACAGCCATGTACTACTTACAGTTTCTCCTCCCGAAAAATACCTTTATCAAATTATATTTTGTATCAAGCCTACAGTAATGGTTTATGCTGTTGAACAAAATGTTTTGATGAGAGATTTTCTTATCATGAGCTGTGAGTGATGATTATGATTTCGAGTCGGCGGTGTTGGAGTCGGCGGTGTTGGAATGAAAAAACACACGTCTTTGGTGGGGGTCGGCAAGATATTTAGAAGGGTCCATCAGGCGATGAGAAACGGAAAATACAAATGCTGCTCTTATTGTTAAAGAGGACATACAACATTTATGTTAAAGCTATTCATCGATACATCAGTAGTTCAAAGTACACTTTATAGTTTGTGGAGCAAACGATATCTATACAACGATAAGCTCCTTACACTATCTCACAATGGATAAATATCGGGCTACTTTTCCAATATCTTGACACTGTATTTAAAAAATCAGTTTTCAAAATGGTTCAGTTCTTTTTTTAAGTAAATGGCATTAGGTTTGAGATAAATCCAATTTATTTATATCTTTGTGTTTAACATGTTGAGATTATATGTTTTTCATTATTTATTGTTCTTATTCTGAATTATTAATTTTATTAAGAGATTCCAACCAACCGAAACCGGGATTTCATAAGGCCAAAAGCTTTTTCCACTGCGTTCCACGTTTTACACAACGCTCTGCTGAACCTCTCCACTCCGGGAGGTTGCCCAGGGGGTGTGGTCCATGGTGTGCAGGCAATGATTGTGACACCTTAAACGGCCCTATTCACGTTACAGAAACTAAAAATAGAACATCAATTTCATTGGTTTGTTTTACTCCATTTACTGAAATGTTTCGTAAGCAAACTATTTTGTTTTGGTTTAGATGGTTATGAGTGCTTTGGTACTAACCATAGATCTCCGTTGAATATGGCTTGGATGTTGCTCGCATGCCTGAGGACGGGCGATTGCAACTGGGGTGCCGTCGATGAAGCCAACCACACTCGGAAAGCCAGCATGTGACCACCTGCTTGACTTTCCTCTGTGAGGCTGCATCTTCAGGAAAACTTATAACATCGAGTTTCAGTGACATGATGTCTACAGTGGTCCCAATGGCTCGGGAGACACTGGGATGGCAAACACTGTGCAGATCAGCCAACTCGGACTGGAACCTACCCTCCACTAGGTATCAAAGATATATGGGTTTAGGGCTTTTGATGATGTTTGATGATGATGATGATGATGATGATGATGATGATGATGATGATGATGATGATGATGATAATGATGATGCTGATAGGATATTTATATAGCCCACATATTTACGCAACTAGTAAATGCTCAAGGCGCTTGAGTGTTCCCCTTGATGAACGGATGTCTTTTTTTCTGGCATTCTTTTAACCAACTCAACTCCCTGGGGAGTATTCAACTCAAGTAGCCTCTTAGGCGCAGCGAATTATCACACAGCCACGTCTTCACAAGATACCTATTTGCAGCTGAGTGAACTGGGACACATAGTCACAGCATTTTGTCCAGTGTAACTGCACGTTACTATACCCGCAACTAAATGTCTACACGTGTTCGTGTGTCACCTACCGTCGGATGAGTGGGTTATTTTAACTGCACAGGGTTGTGTACAGCACACTAGGGGTTGTGTCAACACTGAAAGAGCATGCAAGCAATGTTAGCTCCAAGGTTTTTACACCCGGTCACAAGTGGGGATCGATGCAGGCACCTTTCGCTTACCTGCGCAAATCCTTAGACAGCTCATCCACCATGCCCCACATGGTGAACGCTTTTGAACGCTGTGTGTCCCTCTCTAGATCGACCGACACCTCCTGAATCGCTCGCCGTGAGAGGCGGGGTCGATTCACTGAACAAGTCCTGTTATAATATACGCTTTCGGCATTCTTCCTATCCTTAACCCCAAACACCACATGAAGAAATCAGTACAACGCCATGTTGTTTTCGTCTAGGATTTATTTAGGAGAAGTCAACACCTACCTTAGTATTTGTCCTACGTTAGGATATAGAAGCCCTAGGGTACTGTTCGGCAATAAGGTAGGACACCACCTTAGTATTTGTCCTACGTTAGGATATAGAAGCCCTAGGGTACTGTTCGGCAATAAGGTAGGACACCACCTTAGTATTTGTCCTACGTTAGGATATAGAAGCCCTAGGGTACTGTTCGACAATAAGGTAGGACACCACCTTAGTATTTGTCCTACGTTAGGATATAGAAGCCCTAGGGTAATGTTCGGCAATAAGGTAGGTCACCACCTTAGTATTTGTCCTACGTTAGGATATAGAAGCCCTAGGGTACTGTTCGACAATAAGGTAGGACACCACCTTAGTATTTGTCCTACGTTAGGATATAGAAGCCCTAAGATATTGTTCGGCAATAAGGTAGGAGACCACCTTAGTATTTGTCCTACGTTAGGATATAGAAGCCGTAGGGTACTGTTCGGCAATAAGGTAGGACACCACCTTAGTATTTGTCCTACGTTAGGATATAGAAGCCCTAAGATATTGTTCGGCAATAAGGTAGGTCACCACCTTAGTATTTGTCCTACGTTAGGATATAGAAGCCCTAGGGTATTGTTCGGCAATAAGGTAGGAGACCACCTTAGTATTTGTCCTACGTTAGGATATAGAAGCCCTAGGGTACTGTTCGGCAATAAGGTAGGACACCACCTTAGTATTTGTCCTACGTTAGGATATAGAAGCCCTAGGGTACTGTTCGACAATAAGGTAGGACACCCATCCTACACCCAAGGATCAAAGTTAGGATATCCTAGGGCTATGATCCCTAGGGGTAGCATAGTGGTTGAGGTTGAAACTTTGTTCCTCGCGCAAAAGACATGGGGTCGTTTCCCTACATGGGTACAATGTGTTTATTGATAAACAGTTTTAAAAACTTTGTAACATACCCACTCACTTAAACAACTCGAAATCAGTCGTGATGAAATACTTTGACCTTAACGATCATCAACATGAACTCCTCTGTGTCTGGAGACGCCAGCGACAATATGTTTTACCTGATGGTGAGTTTTCACACTTTAAGGCATCCCGTAATGTTGTAGACAACGCATTACCAAACAGCATTATGATAAAATATGACTGAAGTATCAAGAGCTCATACCAATGTGTCCAGTTGAAGTGTCTTGACTGTATGGGAGAGGGAGTGGTCAGGGATTTACCACGACTCACAAACATAGGGATGTCGGCTACCTTGAGCTCCTGTGAAGTGACAGTGTAGAAAATGGTATGTTTTGATCATTTCTGTAGAGCCTGGAAGGAATCATTGATCATGTGGACTGATGAAAGAAACAACCACATACAAAGTCATAGATGTGTTGTGGGTACAATGAATAACATTGTTCGTCCCTCGGGGCACAGTGAATTGTTTTTCTGCGTCCATCCTCTACGTAAAACCCTGTAGAAGATTCTCTTTCCTAAACGATTCAGTCTTTGGCAGTCAGTATTAATGCAGATCTTCCTTGTAATGACTGATCACAACATTAATATTTCATTATCCCATATTGTTACAAACAGTGTAATATATTTGACACATGATCACATTACGAACTTAGGAAAAATGTAATGGATTACATCGATCTACTTAGCAAGGACATTTAAGTTTACCCGTTCGCGTAGTCTGGAGAAATAACAAGCCATGCATCATTCTATATGATGGGGTGCTTTTAGAAAATGACAAGTGGCATACAAATTACGCTAGTGTTTCAGTTTTATCAAATAAAATGAATTGAGGAAATAAAAATAAGTAACCCTACCCTCTGTGAATATATATTGCTGCAAATCATCTGAAAGAGTTAGTGAGTGAGTGAATATTGCTTAACGCTGCATCAGTGTCTGAAAGACACTGACACATGCCTACCTAATGAATAATAGATATGTTTCTGGTATCAGTATGTTATTAATCAACTAGGGACAATAGTATGCGTGCTCGGACATGTAAGCGTAGCCAGGACTATTGCACGACATAAAGGAAGATTTGACAAATGAAGTAAAATGTAGAAGTTCATCCTTATTCTTTTAGGTTGAGGTTTCAGCCTCTCTCAGGTTTTGTCGTTTTTTTCATTTTCTAATTGCTATTTGTATATCGAGATGTGGGTTTTCATATTGTTTTGTTCAAGCATGTCCTGCTTGACTGTATTGATTTTCCCATCACAAGAGATAAGTATTTCAATGTAAAAACTGTTAACGATCTTTTTAGTACTGTTAATTTATATTTAATTATTGAATATTCAAAAGAAATAGAATTATTAGATAAATTTTGATGAATAGTTTGTTCATTGATATATATTGTATTATTGGTAGTTTGGATTAGTAACTGAGATTATTAGTGGCTGTACCCTCAAAAGGGGTTGAAGTATTGTAAAATCCAGAAGTTGCCCCCTCTCTGACACGATTACATGAACGTCCGTGAGTCAGGTTGTGTAACACGGTGCAGCCATGGAACCTTGGAAACTGGAGGCACCTATGATTCATTGATAAATCGCGGTAGCACCTCAAGCAACGTGACGGAAGACAACGTGTCTACAGACCATGCAATGAAGGTTTTGCATCCAACTGCATCAGGCAAGTGGACAGATTTAGTGGAGATGGTGTGAT